GCTTCATGGCTTGCAGTGAAATTTCATTCAAGTTCCTTATGAACTAGGTACGCCCTAAAAAACATGGGAAGAAAACATTGTTCATTAAAAATTGTACAAAGAAAAGTAATAACTAAAAATATTAATTTTGCTTTTTATATTTTATAATATTAAAATGGGAAAATACTAAATACGTTTAAACTTTCATCGTTAATAGGGAAAAATTTTTCCCCAACCAAACATATCTTAAAACAAGTTGACAATATTACAAGCCAACCTACAAGTATAATTTTACGTTAAATAATACATTATATAATATATAATATAATATTAAATGAGTAAATTTATATAATACTAATAAAACAAATCAATATATGAGATTTGAAAATTGAAATGCCAAATCTGTCAACAATTTAGCGTAAAATAAGTAATTAACACTTAATTTCAATCCTTGTAGCGTAAGAGAATTAATGTAACTGATCTCACCGAACCATAGCACAGTGAAGAATGTTCGGGCCATCCTTCCTTCTAGAATAAGAGCATCCTTGTTCTGGAGCATCAACGTGAGAGTTGAGGTAGAGGAAGGAATCCTTCTTACTATGGAGCGCGGCAACAAACAGAGCGGTCTCATTATCAAGGTTGTAGCTACCGATCAAGGAGTGATCCGCCTCAGCAATGCAGCGAAGAATGGTCACTGGTGTTGCTTGCTGGGGTTCGTAGAAGCCCTGGAAGAACAAGATTTCAAGGTAGGTGCTTGGAAATGTTGAGAAGTAAACTAAAGGTGTGTTTGGGATTGAGATTGGGGATTGGGGATTAGGGATTTCCTATTGTAACCGTAAAGTATTTTTAGATATATATGTATTTGATAATTTTTTTTTCAAATTATTTTTTTTAAAAGTTATAAAAATTCATAATATATCCAAAGCAATTATATATATGAAGTTAGAAACTTTATTTTAGAGCTTTTTGGTTGTGCTTTTAAGGATTGAACGTAACATTTAATATTTAATATAATTACAAAACCATCATTTAATATTTAATACAATTACAAAATTATTCATTAAAACCCAATCTTATTTAATTCAATTACACCACAATTCATAATACTTTATTTATATCTAATCTCTTGTTTATTTGAAAATTCTTTAAAAATTAAAAACTTATTTGCTCCTTATGAGCTGCTCCCTCGCAAGACTAAAAGAACACCCATAATATAAAACCTAAAAAACCTAATTATTACGAAATAGTAAATGTTATTTATTTTAACAATTATACATTCTGTAATATTTTTTAAATTTTAATTAATAATTAATAAATTTTATCATATGTCATCTGTAGTACATTTAAAAAATAAATAATTAAATATTAAAATAACTTTCAATTATAATTGCAATTTAATTCAATATAGACACAGCATCTCATAGCAAACATAAACACATCCTAAATCTTCTTTAGCACCTAAGTAATAACTGTGTTTGTGATTGGCCTCGTGTTGCATGCAAATACAAGGTGCTTGGCTTTTAAAAAGAGAAAGAGACAGAGATCCTTTTCCTTATTGGGATATAAAAAGGATTCTATGGCTGAAAGAAACAGGCAAAAAGCACAAAAAAGCCCTTACTTTTTGAGGTGTGGCAAAAAACCCCTAAACTAAAATTTGATGCAAACAAGCCCCTGTACTTGGGATCTTGTGTTTAGCCCTCTCTCAACTGTTTTTGTAGAAGGTGCAAATTGCCCCAAGTATTTTTGAGTTGAAGCAAATTAACGTTAAAAAAAAAAAAAAGAAGTTAAAATAAATTGTCACTGCAAAATTTTATTTAAAAATATATATTACCTTAAATTTAATAATTGACGTCAATATAATTATTTTCCTATTAAACTATTGTTTTTAGAGTCTAACAGAATGTTGACGTCAACCATTATATACTATATGAGTTAGGAAAAAAAGGTAAAATCATAACTGCTAAACCATAAAACTTGAAACAATTAGTTAGTCCCAGAAACATTTCTTACGTCCTTTTTTTTTTTTTTTTAATCAAGAAACAATTTTAGGAATACCTAATCAATTCTTATAACCATTTGTATTTTTTTTTTTTTTTTTTTATCAAGAAACAATTTTAGGAATACCTAATCAATTCTTATAACCATTTGTAATTGATTATACGTACCTCATTCTCCCATTATGTTTTTTTTCCAATTGCAAACCACAGCTCACGGCTTGATGGCTTCTAGCTAATTAAATTTCTTTCAAGTTCTTTATGGACCAAACATACCCTAAAATACATGGGT